GAAACCACATTAAGATTATCTGTATCTAGAAACAGACCTAAATGTAGAGGGGAGGGAACATTTACTTATTTGCCTGACACTATGTTAGAGATTTTATAGACATTATCTTAGAATGTATGTCTTAAAAATCTTTCCCTTTATTGAAGTCTTGTGGTATTTTATAGATGAGGAAGCAGACTCAAATTAATTAGGTATTTGTGTAAGTTCACATAGTTCATGAGTAGCAAAATATGAGATTTGAACCTAGATCTGTCTTATTTTGAAGAGTGTCTGCCCTTTTCACACCACTTTTTGCTGTCACTATGTAGGGGTTAAATTAATCTTCTTCAAACTTCCACATAGATCCAACTTTTAAACTTTCATATTTTCCTTAAATTTAAAACAGCTAAAAATTGGGTCATTGCTTTCTGCTACTTTGGATTTCTGTTGGTGCTGGTGCAAGGAGCTGAGAGTAGGTAGAGGATACATCCTGAACTGTAAAGATATTTTCTCTCTTCCACTATAAGATCTCTTAGCTTTATACAAAGGGAAGTTTTCTGTTTTATAAGTTAACAGAGAGAAATGTCATTTTTCTATGGTTACTTTCTTATTTTTTTTCTTGATCTCTTTATTTGAATTGTAACATGTTTGGTTCTTATAATTTGGAACTAGAAGGATCTGTTGAGTCTAATTTATGTTTTGGGCCTTTGCCATATGATGCCTTAAATATAAGGCTTCAGTTTGTACTCTAGGTTTCTATTCCTATTAGGAATTCTCTTCTATTAGGATTCTATTCTATTAGAATTCACTAAAACCCACAAGTTTTCATTAAAAGATTAAAGAGTACACTTATGATGAGCACTGAGTAATATATAGAATTGTTGAATCACTATATTGTACACCTGAAACTAATATAACACTATGTTAACTATACTGGAATTAAAGTAAAAAACTTAAGTAAAAAACTTTTTAAAAAGGTGTTATATAGCTTTTTCATGGAAGCTTTTATTTTATAATTATGAGGTTTGAAAAATGAAGATTGCGTACTTAAGTATTTGTTGGAATTCTGTCTCTTATGTAGAGCTTGCAAGTCCTCTTCCTTTTTCCACTCCATCCTGGTTGCCCTTCAGCTAAGACAGTAAATTTACTGGGGAAGAGGAAGTATAGGAATTTGGGGAGGTCAGATAATTTGAAAAAGCATTTTAGAGTGATCATTGTTCTTACATGCTTTTTGGTCAATTTGAAATTTCAAATAACATGAAAAGATGACCTAATTTTTTTACTTCATCAGTGGAGGAGCCTAGGTTTTTAAGGCTTTGAAGCCCTAAAGGGCTATTGCTGCCATAGTGTCCAAGAATCCATAAACTTGAGTTAGTTCTCCAGAAAGAAAGCACTCTAGTGGGGTATGGAGGCATGAAATGTCTCTCTTCATCTGCAGTAATAGTCCTTGTCTTTGTCTATTTTGTCTAATAATAATATCACCACTTTGGCTTTCTTAGGCTTACTGTCTCATGTTTTATCTTTTCTTTTTTTTTTTTTTTTTAAAGATTTTTATTTATTTATTTGACAGAGAGAGACACAGCGAGAGAGGGAACACAAGCAGGGGGAGTGGGAGAGAGAGAGAAGCAGGCTTCCCGCGGAGCAGGGAGCCGATGTGGGGCTCGATCCCAGGACCCTGGGATCATGACCTGAGCCGAAGGCAGACGCTTAACGACTGAGCCACCCAGGCGCCCCTGTTTTATCTTTTCTAAAAAAATTCTTTTCAGCCTACTGATTGAAATTTTGGCTTTAAAACTCTCTCTGTGGTGGATAAGGCTATAGTTGGGTGTTACTTTTTTATTAGTTGGGGATCTCTGCTTTTAAATGTTTAGTCCGCTTATATGTAATGTAATTATTGATCTGGTTGGATTTAGGTCTGTTTTTTTTCTATTTGTCTCTTTTTTTCCCCCCTCTGTTGCTTTTTTCCTGACTTTCTTTTGGGTTAATGATATTTTTTAGTATTCATTTTAATTCCCCTATTGGCTTCCTAGCTCTTCTTTCTTACATGTTTTAGAGAATACTCATAAGGATTATAATTTGTATCTTTATCATCTATCTAGTGTTCTACTTTGCATAAACTATAGGATCCTTGTTAACAGTACAGCTACATTTACTACCTCTATGTTCTCTGTTTTATCAGAGGATATTATTTACTGTACCATCACTCAGTATATGTGGTAGGATTTTTTCATTAATGGTAATAGTCTTTTTTATTGGTTATTTTCTTATTTCTCTTTTTTGTAACCTGTGACAGACATTTGCAGGATGACTGGGTAAGACCTAAGTGTGCAGTCTGTAACTATGGTAACCAAATCCTTGTGGCCTCCATAAAGATGAGATCCAGAATCTTACTAGTCCAATCAAGAATTGATAAATCTTGAATTCAGAAAGGAGGGTTCAGGCCAGAGTGATTCCACAGATACTGGCAAGAGGTCACAGTTATGGGAAATAGAAGTAAAGCTTTGTCACCAGTGCCCATGGCAGAATGGAACACCTCCTTTTGTAGAGAAGTAATTGTCAACCGTGATGGATAGAGTGGTGTCCAGAGTTGAAGCAAAATACGATTTTGCTGCCCTCTAACAGTATGTTTCTTAAATATGGTTGTTCAACAATCTGCATTTGAATTAGTAGAGGTATTTATTAAAAATGAGTGCTCCCGGGGCTCACTCCAAACCTACATAATTAGTATTTGAATATGCGACTTGGCAGTCTGCATTTAGAGGTAAGTGCTCCAAGCTTGCCTTGTACACGGCAATGTTGGACGGTCGCCGCTCTAGGAGTCCTGGCTTCCTAAGGACCAGAATCATGTTTTTAATGGTTATCTTTAAGATTAACAAGTATGAGGCTGATGAAACAGTTTGGTCATAGTCATAGAATTCTAGAGCCTGCATAAAGGTGCCTTTGAGGTCATGCTAGCTCAACAGTCCTGTGCTAGAAAGAGAAAACAGAGGCCAAATGAGAGCATCTGAGAGGTTTTTACAACTTTCTGATTCAAAATAAATACTTTGCTATGAATCATAGATCAGCATAAACTGTATAAAATTTGTCTGCACTGTATAATTATTTTAATGTTAGGTGTTATTTTTAATCCAGTTTGAAAATCTCTGCCTTTTAATTGGGGTATTGAGACTATTTGTGCTCAGCATGGTTATTGACATTGTTGGGTTTAAATCTCACATCTTGCTGTTTCTCTTCTGTTTGTCCTATCTTTTCTTTTTTTTTTTTTAATTTTTTAAAAGATTTTATTTATTTGAGAGAGAGAGAGGGAAACAGCATGAGAGGGGAGAGGGTCAGAGGGAGAAGCAGGCTCCCTGCTGAGGTGGGAGCCTGATGCGGGACTCGATCCCAGGACTCCAGAATCATGACCTGAGCCGAAGGCAGTCGCTTAACCAACTGAGCCACCCAGGCACCCCATGTCCTATCTCTCCTTTTATCCTCTTTTTCTGCCTTTTGGATTATTTTTTTTTTTTTATGATTCCATTTTATGGCCTTTATTGGCATACTAGCCATATATCTTTGGTGGGGTTTTTTTTATGTTTAATGGCTACTGTAGAGTTTATAATTAGTATACATCTTTAAATAGTCTGCCTCCAAATAATATGTATCTCTTCACATACGGTGTAAGAACTTTAGGACAGTGTATTTTGCCCTTTTCCTACCTTTGTGCTATTATAGTCATATATTTTAACTTCTATGTATGTTAGAAACCAAAAGTACATTTTTTTAAAGTTTTTATTTAAATTCCAGTTAGCATGCAGTGTAGTTAGTTTCAGATGTACAATATAGTGATTCAGCACTTCCATACAACATCTGGTGCTCATCACAAGTGCCCCCCTAGTCCCCATCACCTATTTCACCCATCCCCCCCACCCACCTCTCCTCTGGTGACCATCAGTTTGTTCATTCTAGTTAAGAGTCCCCACAGTACATTTTTTATCTTTTCTTTTTTTTTTTTGCAGTCCATATTTTTACCTTAATTATCTTTCAAAGAGATTTTTATTTTGTTTTTTATTTTTTAAAGATTTTATTCATTTATTTGAC